CAGGGGACATGCTGGGACTGTGGTACCCTGTACCACCACCAGGGAACATGCTGGGTCTGTGGTACCCTGTACCACCACCAGGGAACATGCTGGGTCTGTGGTACCCTGTACCACCACCAGGGAACATGCTGGGTCTGTGGTACCCTGTACCACCACCAGGGAACATGCTGGGTCTGTGGTACCCTGTACCACCACCAGGGAACATGCTGGGTCTGTGGTACCCTGTACCACCACCAGGGAACATGCTGGGTCTGTGGTACCCCGTACCACCACCAGGGAACATGCTGGGTCTGTGGTACCCTGTACCACCACCAGGGAACATGCTGGGTCTGTGGTACCCTGTACCACCACCAGGGAACATGCTGGGTCTGTGGTACCCTGTACCACCACCAGGGAACATGCTGGGTCTGTGGTACCCTGTACCACCACCAGGGAACATGCTGGGTCTGTGGTACCCTGTACCACCACCAGGGAACATGCTGGGTCTGTGGTACCCTGTACCACCACCAGGGAACATGCTGGGTCTGTGGTACCCTGTACCACCACCAGGGAACATGCTGGGTCTGTGGTACCCTGTACCACCACCAGGGAACATGCTGGGTCTGTGGTACCCTGTACCACCACCAGGGAACATGCTGGGGTCTGTGGTGCCCTGTACCACCACCAGAGAACATGCTGGGTCTGTGGTACCCTGTACCACCACCAGGGAACATGCTGGGTCTGTGGTACCCTGTACCACCACCAGGGAACATGCTGGGTCTGTGGTACCCTGTACCACCACCAGGGAACATGCTGGGTCTGTGGTACCCTGTACCACCACCAGGGAACATGCTGGGTCTGTGGTACCCTGTACCACCACCAGGGAACATGCTGGGTCTGTGGTACCCTGCACCACCACCAGGGAACATGCTGGGTCTGTGGTACCCTGTACCACCACCAGGGAACATGCTGGGTCTGTGGTACCCTGTACCACCACCAGGGAACATGCTGGGGTCTGTGGTACCCTGTACCACCACCAGAGAACATGCTGGGTCTGTGGTACCCTGTACCACCACCAGGGAACATGCTGGGTCTGTGGTACCCTGTACCACCACCAGGGAACATGCTGGGTCTGTGGTACCCTGTACCACCACCAGGGAACATGCTGGGTCTGTGGTACCCTGTACCACCACCAGGGAACATGCTGGGTCTGTGGTACCCTGTACCACCACCAGGGAACATGCTGGGTCTGTGGTACCCTGTACCACCACCAGGGAACATGCTGGGTCTGTGGTACCCTGTACCACCACCAGGGAACATGCTGGGTCTGTGGTACCCTGTACCACCACCAGGGAACATGCTGGGTCTGTGGTACCCTGTACCACCACCAGGGAACATGCTGGGTCTGTGGTACCCTGTACCACCACCAGGGAACATGCTGGGTCTGTGGTACCCTGTACCACCACCAGGGAACATGCAGGCTTGAGATAAGGAGAAATTACAGAGTTAATGGAGAGCTGAAGTTTGTGGTCATTAGTCTTCACAATTCACTTTTTATTTCTTAATCTCGTATGTCGTTTATCTACTGGAAGGGAAATATTGATTCAGTGTAAGGATTTTAGATATTTTATCCTTAGTAATAAGATGGTTTGTCATTTCATACAACGTGAATTTAGAATTATCTCTAAATGAATCAGTTTTATTACAGACTAAGATATAATGCTCAAGTATTTGTCTGTGTCCACACACGCTACACATTACTTCATCAAGAATCCAATACAAACCCAACTGCCAGAGACACTTGTAGCCAAGTCTTAATCGAACTCTGACAATGTGGCCTCGTAGCCTGGTGGATAGCGCGCAGGACTCGTAATTCTGTGGAGTGGTTCGATTCCCGCACGAGGCAGAAACAAATGGGCAAAGTTTCTTTCACCCTGAATGCCCCTGTTACCTAGCAGTAAAATAGGTACCTGGGAGTTAGTCAGTTGTCACGGGCTGCTTCCTGGGGGTGAAGGCCTGGTCGAGGACCGGGCCGCGGGGACACTAAAGCCCCGAAATCATATCAAGATAATCTCAAGATGTGTGTTAGTCTGCTGAATATGTTACTTGCTCCATACAGAGCGCAGCCACTAAACTTAACCCACTACATAACTCACTAAAACCTTGATAATAAATACTTGACAGTTAAACTTGGATAAATGCATAATGCGGGGAGCTGATGGCAGATTATTATATTCACGGGTAAAATGTAGAGCGTGTCATGATAGTGGGCGGACATGGTCCAGGCTGCTTCAGGTGAGAGCTGTGAGTGTGTCATGATAGTGGGCGGACATGGTCCAGGCTGCTTCAGGTGAGAGCTGTGAGTGTGTCATGATAGTGGGCGGACATGGTCCAGGCTGCTTCAGGTGAGAGCTGTGAGTGTGTCATGATAGTGGGCGGACATGGTCCAGGCTGCTTCAGGTGAGAGCTGTGAGTGTGTCATGATAGTGGGCGGACATGGTCTAGGCTGCTTCAGGTGAGAGCTGTGAGTGTGTCATGATAGTGGGCGGACATGGTCCAGGCTGCTTCAGGTGAGAGCTGTGAGTGTGTCATGATAGTGGGCGGACATGGTCCAGGCTGCTTCAGGTGAGAGCTGTGAGTGTGTCATGATAGTGGGCGGACATGGTCCAGGCTGCTTCAGGTGAGAGCTGTGAGTGTGTCATGATAGTGGGCGGACATGGTCTAGGCTGCTTCAGGTGAGAGCTGTGAGTGTGTCATGATAGTGGGCGGACATGGTCCAGGCTGCTTCAGGTGAGAGCTGTGAGTGTGTCATGATAGTGGGCGGACATGGTCCAGGCTGCTTCAGGTGAGAGCTGTGAGTGTGTCATGATAGTGGGCGGACATGGTCCAGGCTGCTTCAGGTGAGAGTTGTTCCAGGCGTCCCGCCATACTGGAGCATAATAGGTGAAATAGGTTAATAGGTGATAGTAGGTTAATATGATAAAGCATCATGAGGTTCTTGAGAGTTAAGGAGGAAATATTGTGATTTGCTATTTCCTGCAATAACCTACTAGAAAAATATATATATATATATATATATATATATATATATATATATATATATATATATATATATATATATATATATGTCGTACCTAGTAGCCAGAACTCACTTCTCAGCCTACTATGCATGGCCCGATTTGCCTAATAAGCCTAGTTTTCATGAATTAATGTTTTTTCGACAACCTAACCTACCTAACCTAACGTTTTCGGCTACCTAACCTAACCTAACCTATAAAGATAGGTTAGGTTAGGTAGGGTTGGTTAGGTTCGGTCATATATCTACGTTAATTTTAACTCCAATAAAAAAAAATTGACCTCATACATAATGAAATGGGTAGCTTTATCATTTCATAAGAAAAAAATTAGAGAAAATATATTAATTCAGTAAAACTTGGCTTATTAGGCAAATCGGGCCTCGCATCGTAGGCTGAGAAGTGAGTTCTGGCTACTAGGTACGACATATATATATATATATATATATATATAGGTCCATGAGGTCCATGCTGGTGAAAGTCCTGAACCTGCCATTGGACGACTCTCAGTGGGAGCAAGCAACCCTTCCTGTAAGACTCGGCGGCCTTGGTGTCCGCACAGCCTCCCAAATTGCTCTACCAGCCTTCCTTTCCTCCTCTCATGCATCGCACGACCTCGTCAGAGATATTTTACCTGCAACCCTGAGAGATTCAGCAGGAATACACGATCCTGCTTTCACTGAATGTTCAAATCAGTGGAATGTTCTTGCAGCCCCAGAAACCATTATAGAGCCAACAAAACAACACAAACAGTCCGGCTGGGATCACCCTCTAGTGGAAAAAGTAGCTGATGCCATGCTAAGCGTCGCAACATCAGACAAGGAGAAAGCCCGCCTCAGAGCAGTGCGTGCCCCCCATGCAGGAGACTTCCTCCTGGCAGTACCCATGTCTGCAATGGGCACGCGCCTAGATCCAGAATCCCTTCGTGTACCAGTGGCCCTCCGCCTTGGTGCCCCAATTCACACTGAATACAAGTGTATTTGCAACAGGGTGGAAGCAGACCAATACGGACTGCATGGGTTGCATTGCGGAAGCACAAAGGGCTGGCATGCAAGACACAACGAGGTCAATGACATCATCAAGAGAAGCCTCGTCTCAGCTGGGTGCCCAGCGGAGAGAGAACCTCGCATCCTAGGGGTCCAAAACCCGGATTTCCCAGCACTTCGCCCTGATGGCATCACCATATACTCATGGAAGGAGGGTAGACAGTTGGTGTGGGACTACACATGTGTATCCACCCTGGCTGACACCTATGTACACTTCGGAGCTGATCAAGCAGGTGGGGCGGCCAACCACAGGGAAACAGCAAAATCACTCAAGTACAGGCGACTGGAAGGTCAATACCTCTTTGTTCCCATAGCGTCTGAGACGCATGGCCCCTGGGGCAAGAGTGCCTTGGGATTTCTCAAGGAATTGGGGTCCAAGCTCATTGACGTCACCAGAGACCCAAGGGCTTCCAGTTTTTTATTTCAGCGTCTCAGTGTGGCGATCCAGAGGGAAAATGCTTGCTGCGTCCTCGGTTCCTGTCCAGAAGCGGAGGAGCTTCAAGAGATCCATAACCTTTAGGCATTTGTCTTGTATGTTTTGTAACCTTTAAATACACAATAAAGGAAAAAAAAAAGGGAAGGGGGTGGTAGGAGAAAAGCACACAGAAACTGTATTGGAGGGAATACACATTCCCTCCAATGCGTTATGTGTGGTTTCCTCCGAGGCTATGGGTCCCCCTTCTTCCAGCCAGAGGTGGTACTTCCTATATATATATATATATATATATATATATATATATATATATATATATATATATATATATATATATATATATATATATATATATATATGCTGTTTACATATATGTGTTTATCCCCCAAGGCCAATATCAGTCAGGAGTTAATAGAGTATAAAGATAAGGTTGTTGTCTGGGTGGTGACGACTGTGGTTGTGTTACAGCTGTTGTTCCAGACCGAGAACCCCGGGGTGTGGTGGGAGTACACGCTGCCCCACCAGAACGCCACCTACACCCCCACCTTCTCCTGGCACCACTCTGACTGGTCCGTGTGCTCTGTCACCTGTGGAGGCGGCATCCAGGTACGTCCATACTTACCTCTCATACTTTCTCCAGCTTGACCTGAAACATGTGATTGGTTAGGGAGATGATTACATACGTGTGTGTGTGTGTGTGTGTGTGTGTGTGTGTGTGTGTGTGTGTGTGTGTGTGTGTGTGTGTGTGTGTGTGTGCGTGCGTGTGTGCGCACGCGTGCGGGATGACGTAATCTTGGTGAGGTCACACACTGGCCATCTCGTGAGGGATTAAAGTATAATTCCTGTGTAATCACCCTCAACATACTGGTGACGCGCCCCCCCTTCTTCTCTTAACTTTGTGTGTGTGTGTGTGTGTGGTGTCGCCATTCAAATATATATATATATATATATATATATATATATATATATATATATATATATATATATATATATATATATATATATATATATATATACACATATATATTAGACGTTATGTCCAGACCAAGTGAGATGGCCCGGAAAGTGGAGTTGGAGATTCTGTTGGACGACATATTCGACCTCGAGACATAAAAGGTCACCACGAAAGACACCTTACAAGCAGAACTTATTGCGGAAGGAGGAAAGAATCGAGGCAACTACAGAAGCACCATACTGTCCCCCGAGCTCAAAGCGGCAGCTAAGAGCCTTCGTGAGAACAAGGAAATAGTTGTCAGGCAAGGTGACAAGTCGCCAATATACGTCATTCTTAAAAAAGACGAATATCTGGCGAAAATGAACCTCATACTCTCTGACCAAACTAAATTCCAAAGGGTAACGAAGGACACTACAGCCGAATTGAAGGCAAAGGTCAACAAATTCATCGAAACTGTGAACGCCAAGAAATCCGGACTCCACCTGCCAAAGATTATTGGGGAATATAAACCTGGATACGCATATGGAAATGTCAAGACACATAAGCCTGTAAACCCACTTTGGCCAATCATCAGCCAGATACTCACACTCATGTACAGACTGGCGAAACGACTCAACGGCTTGCTGAATCCTTATGTCCCTTGCGCCTTCAGCATGAAGTCTCCAAAGGAATTTGTTGACTTACTACGGGGAACAAGGGCCACAGGGATAAGAGCCTCGTTGGACGTAGAATCACTGTTAACCAACGTACCTGTGGATGAAACAATCGGGATGATAGCGGACAGAGTGTATCGTGATCCGGCCTGTACTCCTCTTGACATACCAGAAAACATTCTGAGGAAACTACTCCAAGCTTGTACTAAAGAGGCACCCTTCTTGAGCCTGGATGGGCACATGTATAAGCAAGTAGATGTATAAGCAAGTAGCGTTTTTTTGGTTTTATAGTAAATCGTCAGTTGTATCTTCTGATTTTTGTCTGTAGGGATAACGTTTCTACTGACAATATCTTTCAGGACCCTTTCCTCCGTTTTATGGGCTGTGGAAAAGAAGTTCCTGTAAAATATTCTAACAAGGGGTATAGGTGTTGTGTTAGTTGATTCTTCAGAGGTTGCATGGCGTTTCACTTTCCTTCTTATGATGTCTTCAACGAAACCATTGGAGAAACCGTTGTTGACTAGGACCTGCCTTACCCTACAGAGTCCTTCATCGACTTGCTTCCATCCTGAGCTGTGGCTGAGAGCACGGTCGACATAAGCGTTAACAACACTCCTCTTGTACCTGTCTGGGCAGTCACTGTTGGCATTTAGGCACATTCCTATGTTTGTTTCCTTAGTGTGGACTGCAGTGTGCAAGCCTCCACTCCTTTCCGTGACTGTTTCATCCAGAGAGGGCAGCTTCCCATTATTCTCCATCTCGTAAGTGAAACTCAACACAGAATTCCGCTCAAATGCCTCCTTCAGCTGCTGTAGACATCTGGCATCAGGTACCAGCGTAAAAATGTTGTCAACATACCTGCCGTATACGGCGGGTTTCAAGTCCATGTCAACTAAGACCCTCTGCTCGATGGTACCCATCCAGAAGTTCGCAAACAGGACACCTAGGGGAGAACCCATGGCGACCCCATCTACTTGTTTATACATGTGCCCATCCGGGCTCAAGAAGGGTGCCTCTTTACTGCAGGCTTGGAGTAGTTTTTTCAGAATGTTTTCTGGTATGTCGAGAGGAGTGCAAGCCGGGTCACGATACACTCTGTCCGCTATCATCCCGATTGTTTCATCCACAGGTACGTTGGTAAATAGTGACTACATCCAACAAGGCTCTTATCGCCGTGGCCCGTGCTCCCCGCAGTAAGTGAACAAATTCCTTGGGGGACTTCAGGCTGAAAGCACAAGGTACATAAGGAGTCAGCAAGCAGTTGAGTCGCTTAGCCAGTCTGTATGTGGGTGTGGGTATCTGGCTGATGATTGGCTGAAGTGGGTTTCCAGGCTTGTGGGTCTTGACATTTCCATAGGCATACCCAGGTTTGTATTCCCCAACAACTTTTGGCAGGTGGAGTCCGAATTTCTTAGCGTTTACAGTTTCAGTCAATCTGTTTACCTTCGTTTTCAATTTGACTGTAGTGGCCTTCGTTATCCTTTGGAATTTAGTTTGGTCAGACAGTATGAGCTTCATTTTTTCCAGATATTCAGCTTGGGGGATGGGGACCCTCCCCTCGTCCTCCCCACCATTCTCTACTCCACCATCCTCTCTTCCTTCTCACCATGCCCCACTCCCCCTGTCCCTTTGTCCTCCCCACAATTCTCCATTCTCATATCCCCTCGTCACCACCATCCCAAACTCCCCCGTCCCATCCTCCTTCCCCACCATTACCCACTCCCTTGTCCCCTTGTCCTCCCCACCATCTCTCACTTCCGTCCCCTCGTCATCCCCACCATTCCCCACTCCCTCATCTGATGCCTTCACAAATGGTCTGATGTTCCCATCAAAAAATTGGGAACATCAAGTGATCTGATGTTCCCATCACTTAAATATAAGAAAAAACAGTTAACAAATTAAATTAAAATATGAAAAAATAAAATCAACTATATTCCTGAAATGAACTGTCTGTTAAACAACACAACTCAATTCCAATACAATTCACACAAAATAATTAAATCTAAATGAAAATAAATCAAAATCTATGAAAATTCAATTTATCAATGCAATCAGAAACATTAAAATGAAATTTTAACATATTTAGTATAGCATGTGTGTTGCTCTTACATGCAACAGATGGCACTGTTTTTCAAGAATAGCATAGTTTTACCTGTCACAGGTGTGGCATCTATACTTACGTATGAAATGAATGGTATGGTAAACAACACAGCTCAATTCCAACACAATATCATACAGAATAATTCAATAAAAAATAAAAAAATTGAAATCTATGAAAATAAAATTTATCAATGCAATCAGAAACATTGAAATGGAATTAGTGACATATTTAGATTAGTGTGCATGTTGCTATTATGTGCAACAGAGGGTGCTGTTTAAAAAAAAAAAAAAAAAAACACCCCCTCACTGTCTGGCTCGTTGCCGCCGTGAGGGGGCTTGGTGGGCAGCTGCCGGAGTGTGATGCTCCGTGGGTCAGTCCTCTGTCCTTTTGTGGCCTTATGCTCCTGCTGCTGCCTTTACCAATTTTGCCAGACCCCTTTTCCTTTTACTCGTGTTTTATTTTTCTCCCCCCTCTTCTCCTATCAAATTGTCATTTCCTGCCGACCTTTTGCCTGTTTTGATTATTCTTTCGACCTTCTTTTGTTTTGACGCTCGGATGTTTGAGGAGGCATACTCTTGCACCCGTAGAACTGTAGTACCCAACGTCTCGAGTGAGGGTACCCTTTTATTGTCAATCCTCCTTTCATCACTGAACCCGCTCTTGACGGACTCACGGTTTTTAAGGTGGCGTTTGTGGGGCGTATACTCACGACGCACCCCTAGGAGGCCCCGGCATGATCGGCGATAGCTTCTTGTTGGGTGCCCTGCCTCTAATTGTGGCTCCATGGTGGGTGTGGGGGCACATTCGTGAATGAAAGTTTTTCCTAGTTTTCATGGCTGATAATGTTTCCCTTGTATTTTCTCAGGCTCGTGGGGTGGGCGATCAAGCCCCTGAGTCGGACTGTGTTGGAAGACCAGGCCCTGTAGCCCCTGCTGCATTGGGCCCCGACGACCTGACTACTCCCCTCAGCTCCCCTCTCTCCTCTGTGGTAGGGTCGAGTCCCCAGCCCCCAGTGGTGACCACCTCGTCCCCTGGCATGGCTCCGTCTCTCATTGTGACTACTGCGCCTTTTACCCCCGTGAACTCCGGGGGTTGTCAACGCCGTTCCTGCCACGGCCGCACTCGCATGATCCCTTCCCGTAATACTACTTACAACGCCTTGTTTGGTCCCGCTACGTGGGCTAAATACTTTGATCTCCACCATCTGGATTATACTCCTCCTGACGATTTCTCCCTCCATAAACACCTTGTTGATTCAGTTAATGCCTCTGTTACTTTTAACTCCACCAGTTACGGTACGCGTGTCGTCGCTGCTCCTTCTCAGGATGCGGCTACTCGCGTAGCCGCTTTGTCCTGCATTGGAGAGACCCCTGTTCGGGTCTCCAAAACCGCTCTGTTAAATGCCAGTGTTGGCACTGTTCTTCTCCCACACCATGTTGCAACTGGTGTTCGGGACCTCAACGATTGCCATGAGGATATTAAACATATCCTCGAAGCCCAAGGCCATTCTGTCCTCCAGGTGGACACGTTTACTCGACCCCCTCGTGGTCATCGCCGTCAGCCCCTTCGAGTAGTAAAAATCACCTTTGATAGTAGGACCCTTCCGCCCTCTATTATTCTTGCTGGTGCCAGATGCTCCGTTCGGGAGTACATTCCCTCTCCTAGACTATGCAATAAGTGTTGGAAGTTCGGGCACAGTGTCCTCAAATGCACTAGTACTGTGTATCTATGCCCCATGTGTGGGGACAATAGTCATTCTAAGTCCGAGTGCACTTCTCCCCAGGCTCGCTGCCTCAATTGCGGTGAAGCCCACCCTACCTTCTCACGCTCGTGTATGCACTACAAACTCGAGGAAGCCGTCCTCAACTTGAAGCACCGTGATCGTCTGTCTTTTCCT